AACCACTACACTAAGTTGGTGTGAGAAGACAAGTTGTTTTACCAAGAAATGCTGATGCGCAAGTTTATGCCCTCAATCAGCACCGTCTTCTGGAATTATAGCACCTCGACTTCTCCAAAGCATTCGAACTACTAAACTACAAAACACTGCTGAGGAAACTGCACAATTATGGAATTTGAGGACTTTTAATACACAATAAGGGGATTAGGGGACTAGTACTGTGCTGGACCGAAGAACTTCTTCGACATCGCACCATGGCAGTTTGGGTTTCTGGATCACTTTCTGATCTCTTCAACTTAGCTTGAGGAGTTCCACAGGGACTTGTGCCTGGCTCACGACTTTTTCCAGTTTTCATAAACGACCTAACGGACATTCTGGGGCCAAAAACGCTAATGTTTGCAGACGATGCAAAAATATGGAAGACAGTGACAAAATCTGAGGGCTCGCTAGCACTTCAGAGAAGACTTAATGCTGCTGGTCAATGGTCGATCGAAAAAAGACAGCAAATTTAATGCATCAAAATGTACGGTCGTATCCCTTCGTCACAAAACTCGGTTTCCGTACTTCCTGGGAGATCAACAACTTCCGTACTTCTCGAATGAGAAGGATCTCGGTAGCATTGTTCAGGACGACCTAAATTGTTCTTTAAACTGCTCTCGGGTGTCATCCTCCGTTATAAGACGTGTTGGTTTGCTAAAGAGAGTATTTGGTAAATGTGAATCTACGCTGTTCCCACGGTTGATATCGGCCCATATTCGACCCTATATAGAATACGCCATTCAAGCATGGAATCCATGGCTGCAACGTGATCGGGAGATTCTGGAACGTTCACAAAGAATGGCCACCAAAAAAGTCAAGGGAATGCATTTCAAGACTTATGTGGAACGACTGGAATCATCGAGGCTGTACTCCACACAGTATCACCGAATTCAAAGGGACTTTATTTTGGTATATCAGATAATGCAGAACCCTGATCACCCATGTCGTTCACCGTTCGCCTTGTTGTCCAATACTCACCCCAAGGGACAATCATTCAAATTGGTGCTCCAAAAAGGTCGAATAGAATACCGACGTCATTCACTTACCTTCAGTGTGCAGCATTTGGAATTCCCTACTATCTCACATTGTTTCTGCGCCCACAATTGATTCTTTGAAGCAAAAACTGAATGAAACTTTGACAAGTCCTAAATGTAAATATTCGTAGGAGTGCAGAAAACCAAGAAAATTTGCGATATTCCTCATCTTTCTATGAACGGCAAAGTGATCCATTTGTGCTAAACCCTGTGGGACAAGAAGAGTACTTACTTTTAAGTATTTCCCATAATAAAACTTGGACTGTAACCTACTGAAAATAATCGGGAAGCCGTCGAAAATTCGGTGGTGATTGTGTTGTTGGTGGTGGTGGTGGTGATGGTGATGTTTGGAATTTGCGTGATGTAAACGGTGATTGTGACGGCATAGGCAGCAAATTGACAAAGTTACAACTGTATAACCAATCAGAGGGTAACAGTACGACACAAGGGATGTAATCAATCTGTCAAAATAGCAACGATTCAAATTTGTCTAAACGCAATGTCTGGACAGACAAAAAAATAGTAAATAATTCTTAGAACGACCAGCATCCCTAAGTAACACTCGAAAATAATCAATAAACTCATATTTGTATTTGTATAACATTTCAGGCTTGTATGCTTACATTTCAGTTACAAAAGTACAACGGTCGTCATACCGGAAAAAATACACATTTTGTAAAACATACAAAGTGGGAAATATCATAAAAGTTTGTTCTATGCACACAAATTCACAAGTAACTCACTAACGACAGTGATACTTTTGATGAATATTTAATACAAGTGAGAGAACATTTAAACTTTATAAAGGTAATCGGATAAAAAATACTGTGAATAATATAAAATTTGGAGAAAATGCGGTCAACAAATGAAATCTGGTGCTAGAATATTCGGTCCGAAATGGTCAGAATGGGATGTGGGGAATGCGTTCACAGGTTACAGGAGTACGATGGATGTGAAGCATTTACATCGAAGATTTGGAGGGTGGTGATGATGATTCGGATGACTCGAATGACTCAGATGACGCGCATGATAATGATGATGATGATGATGATGGTGACGATGATAATGACTCGGATGACTCGCGTGACTTGGATGATGAAGATGACTTGGATGATCATGATGATGACGATGATGATGACTCGATTGACTCGGATGACTCGGATGATCATGATGATGGTGACGATGATTCGGATGATTCGGATCATGATAATGATGGTCCACATCCTTCCGGAGAACGTTGGCACAGTATGAGAACGGTGACTTTGCGGGAACAAAGCGCAATTTGGTCACCTACGCGATAGAAGGACAACGTTGCTAATATCAAATATTTTCATGGCTAACCGTAATCTCTTTTTGGATATTTCGAGTTATTGCATTTTCGCCAACAATAATCAAATCATATATGATTTGCATGGGGAACCGTAAACCGCAGAATGCGCTGTTTTGCGATTGTGGAAATATTTTCTAAATTTGCATTGATAATTATCTCTTGAAGCTGAATGTTTTCATGAATGCAAATTTTGGTGGTCGAAAAGACGTGCGTTTTCCATACACTTACATTCATTCAATTGCAGTGCATTTCGTGCAGGAAGGAAATCGAATAAGGTGCTTTTCCGTCCCTCTGTCCGTCCGTCCGTTCATCCGTACAGTACACTCTCATTTGAAAAATTTGTCCAGTTTCGCCAACATCTCTGTCTACCTGAATAACAACTTAATTCATAGATGGACACAAGGATCATTCCTCTATCTAACACGATTATAAAATTGGTTAATTTTGTAATCGGTAAAGCAGAGCGCCTGAACGTCGTTCCACGCTTGTTGGGACTCGCCGGCAAATTCGTTCCGCTTTTGCCCAAACTCAACTCATGAGCATATGAAGGAAAAGTTCTTAAAAGAAAAGGTACAATGCTCCACAACTTGCTGTTCATAAGCTTTTTTTGCTAATATTATACTTCTAATTTGGTATTTTCCCCACAAAGGTAGGACATGTATGGCTTGCACTTTTATTTAGAGATCTAATTCGTACTGGCTTCCGTCCCAAGTTATCAATCTTGTCAATCATTCAAAACCATCTTTCTAACTGGCTGACTGGTTCAAGGTCCCTATTCCCCAGTAAGTTCAGAACAGCTGACTAGTGATTGCAACTGACTGTTCTTCAGACTTTACCTTCCTCTACTCAACCATACACACGAAAGCACGAGACTTGAGGTTCGCTTCTCTTAGAGCTTGTCTGTCGTGAATGTCCTCCGTCCCGTCCGAGATTTGAACTCCGGACCCATCACACGAAAGGCGCTTGTGTATGGTTATGTATGGTTGACTGGAATAATTGATGAATGTGCATGAAAGTGAAGTCCGAAGGATAGTCAGTTCCAATCAATCAAAATCAATTATCCCTACAGGCTACTCGCAAGTAACTGTGAGTTAAATTTGTTTGATCACCGGCAACTTGATCCCAGACTAGCAAACAAGACTTGGAAAACAAATAGTTTTTTTTCAACTTTCGCTTGTGATACCTTTTTGACTGGCACAAATAAATTATTGATTTATAATATTCAAAAATAAACTCTCGTTAATCATAAATGGATAAATTGCTGACAGACATGTGTCATTCTTGTTTTCCATTTTTTTTTTCTATGCACAGCATCCTCTTCTCCGAAACAACAGCAACCAAAACGCGTGGTGGATAGAATGTTTTGGCAATCCGACATCCCATTTTCAGGTCGTCAGACGGTCGCGAACCTGACATTAACTCAGTCTGGAGAAGATCAGTATCAGGTACGTATCTCAGTCTCATCTGGAACTGACTGACCACTGTCATGCTTTGAAACCATAGTGCGTAAATCTTGAAAGAATTCTAGAAAAAAACGATAATTTGACGTTATTGATGATTTTATCTGAAAACGCACGAATCACATCCATACTGATGCTTGAGTTTGCATAGGATTACTTTTAATCTTGCTGTTTTATGTGTGTTGTTTTATGTTTAAAACCTGCAAAATAGCTTTAAATCAAAAACTACGGGAAATGGTTTGGGGTGATTTGGTTTCAAATAATTTTTGGTTTCTCGTTCACT